CAAATACAATATTTTCAAAAAAAAAAACAAATATGTACTGCTCATGGAAGAAAACTGGGAAAGGATAATTACCTCTAGGTCCTCCAAGTCAATACCTGGTTGCAAAGCAGGAAGAGCAGAACATGTCATTCCAGCCTTGGTAATCTGATCATTGAAAAATCTCAACTTCCGTGACATCTCTCCACATCGCTTCACCTGTTAAGACATCAGGAAGAGAGAAACTTTAAGATAAACCTTGGGGGGGGATCCATCTTAAACATTTAATACAAAAAAAAAACATTAGATAACAGATATAAATGTAACTGCACGAAAAAAGAGGGGAATTATGATCACAGTCCATAAAAGTCGAACATGCAAATTCAGAGAACAACAACAGTAATGAAAAAGTTTTAATCCAAAATTTTGGGGCTGGCTACAAGAATCGTATTCTTGCATCCAGTTCTATTATGGGACATCTCATCCATTAAGTTGACTGTTATCATATCCTTAACTGTGTCCTACCCTACTCAACTCAATTTCCTCCCCCCCCCTACCCCACCCCCCCCAAAAAAAGCTATATCTTATCTATTAAGTTGACTGTTATCATATCCTTAACTATGTCTAGCCTAAGACTCAAAGTTTTCTTCCCCGCCCCTGCACCCCCCCCCTCCCAAAAAAAAAAAAAAACCAAAAAAGCTATAATCTTATTACTTCTACAAACTAAGCAATTGAGTGGCTTCCGTTGGGCATGCCCAAACCATCTAATCGGTTCTCTATGAGTGAAATTTAGGATAAGCTTTCTGCATGAATTTGTCAGTCCAGCAAGTACTTGCATGGCTTAAGATATAGCCAAATAGAGGTAACACAAGAAAAGATTCTGCTAAGTATGGGAAAGTACGGGCTAACTAACAGAATGAAATGTAGTTGAAAAGTGACATAGATTTATGAGATTACTAACAAAATGCTACTTAGAGAAAGAATGGTGTTATCAATAACCTTTAAAGAGCCCCGAGTACAACACATATTCTATATTACTACCTGTAGGTGTATACTCAATTTTCTTGCTTATATGAAATACCAAGACGTGCATTGCGAGTAAGAAAAGCAACTTTAAGTGAAAAATGGTTCAATTATATGTAAATGTTAAATTTCTTCAGAAATACATTTTATGGTTGTCACTTGCTCGATCATCCGAACAATAGATTGAGTGTTAGTATAAAAATTAAAAGGATGTAAGATAATAAGACTGCTTACCTGGTTGACAAATGTTCGCTGAAAGGGGCTTCTATCATAATTTAACTGCAAAAAATGATAAAGAACATGCAGAGGTCAAAGAAATCGAACAAAAAGACAATTGTGTCACAGTAGTAAAGAACTAAACCCGAAGTAGTTGTGCAAGGCTAAATCATGCATTAGATTGTCAATGTTGAGATCAAGTTACAATGTATGCTATTTTCAGTAACAAATGGAGTCATATATATAACTTTTACACACCATAAAAACATTCTATATAAATAAGAGAATAAAGAGGAAGAAGAGAGAATGTGGCATGTCAAGAATAAAGAAGATAAAGCCTCGAAAATATATAGAGATAATGCAGCAACATAAAACCATAGTTTAAATACAATGCATGGGAAAAGGGAACAAAGGCCGGAAGGAAAAATAAGCATATAACTCCTAATAACTAAGGAGGATGCTGGTGGTGGCAAGTCTTAACTAAAGTCTCAGAATGAAATTTCAAGCTTCAATGGTATGGCAGCTGAGGACCAAATTGAAGATGGGACTCATATATGGCAGTAGCTCGAATCAAAGCTGACACCAGTCTTCCAAAACTCCCACCAGACTGTAGGGACAGATTATAGACCCAAACTAGCTTATGAAAGGACGCCTAAAACCGCGTAATAATCCATATGATACTTGAGTCATGTCAAATCAGATGAGATAAGGTATATAATTAATCCATTCACCTTACATTATTAGCCATTTAATCATACCATTTTAGCAGCTAACAATACAAGTATAGATCTGCTCATCTTGCATCTTAGCACTGTAATTTATTTATTTTTTAGCGATATTTAGGCTAAACATTTCAATTTACATCATGCTCAGGAGCAACCTCCACAAACTTTCCCATGAGCATCCATCTAATTGGCCAACTTATTGTATAATATTTCTAGACCCATTCTACTCCACCTAGGATCTCCAAAATGATATTAATTTCCTATCATTAAGAGAATTATTCACATAGGTTGCTAATTACTTCACCATTTTGTCCCCTAGTCAAAAGTTAGTTACTCCATCATCCGGTGATACATAATCATTCAGTAAACCATGCTCCATCTAACCAGATCACATTTAAAGCATCCTAAATTATTCTTATTGAAAATTAGGCCTTGCAAAATACAAGCATTTTTTTAACCCTTGATCAGAATCCTATCCCAAATTTCCATTTAACCACACCCCTCTAGCACAGATAGGAAATGAAAAAAACTGTCATCTCATCTACCATTTCCATTGATCACGAGCATATATTGAATTATTACTGGAACTTTCTAAATTTGTAGCAAATCACATTCGCACGCTCGCTTCTACATTACCATTTTACCATTACCCACTCTTCCAAAAGTTCCCCATACATCTACCTTGAATGTTTCTTCTCCAAATTTAGACTTCATCTGTTAAAATACATTCATCAGTTATTCCAATTCTCACTCACAGCATTTGCATTTTGCCTAAAATAGACGAGATCCACGGCAACTGTCACCTTACTTGGAAACTATCCGGAATAGTAAGATATAAATGTTGTCGACAATATTGAAATCGTACACACCCAACAATATCTTAAAATAGCGTATCAGCATGAACACAGACATCAAGATCTCAACGAAACCTTAGAATCCCTACATCAGCTAAGTTCATTCATCCAGATCAACTCCAAACTCACCACTGTAGATCAATGCGAGCTTCCACTAAAACAAGAAGCAAAGTTCAAAAATCATAAATTACTACAAATTTTCTCTCTTATCATTAGCATTCTCCATAAAACTAGATGATCCACTACAACTGTAACCTTACTTGAAAGTTACCATAAAGTCAAGGTACAACTATCTTCAATCATGTAGACACCATAAAATCTAAGCATTTCATCGCTAAGCATTTCATCGTGAACGCAGAACATCAAGATCTCAACGAAACACAACAAATTCCTACATCAACTACTTCATTCAGATCAACTCCAAAATCACCGCACAAAAATCAACGCGAAAGCGAGAAAAGAGATCAGATCTGAGAGAGAGAGAGAGAGAGCTAGGGTTTCCTTACGTCTTTGAATTGGACGAGGCCGAGCTCGCCGAGGTAGGAGACGGCCCTGTGAGCGGACTCGACGGGGATGATGAGCTGCACGAAGCTCATCCTCTCCGATCGCAGGTGATCCATTGGCGGCAACCTGTCGAAAATCTTCATCTGGAAAGCGCGAGGGAGATCTCGAGATTGAAGACGGATCTTTTTTCGGTTCTCTTTTCTGTGGGAGTTTATAATAGATTTAGATCTCGGTTCGGTTTGCAACTGCCATGGGCGTCGCGTTTTGGGCCTCCTTTGAAAAATAATCTTTCGATGGGGTGCAGGGGCGAGAAAGAGAAAGAAGAGGGAGGGAGGGGGTGAGGGGAGTGGGACAATGGAATAAATCGTTTTCATCGAAACCCAAAGTTTATACGCATTTACGTTTAGGCCCAACCGACGTATAAATTCGCAATTAAATCCTGAACATGCCTAACTAAGACCCAACCGACATATAAATTCGCATTTATGTATTTTGGAGGGTTTTTTTTAGGAGCTTATAATTTTATGCTGGATTTTGATGGTTTTTTATTTTTATGATAAAATTCTTATAAAAGTTATATAAATAGATCCGTCATTTGCTTGGTCAAATCTAACTTATTTACATTAGCTCATAAGTTAGTTTTTCAAAAAAAAACCGGGGAATCTAAACTCTTTTAATGAGACTTATAAGCTAGCTTATTGATATTTTATCAAACAATTATATATAAAAATGGATTAAAAGCTACATGACTAATAAAATACGCTCTCCAAACATCAGGTAAATTATTTTGAAACAAATTTTATATATTTCAGTAGCTTAATGTATAGTAACGTGTAGAAAATGGAAGTACTATCATCTACCAAAAAGCTGTGATACTCTCAGCGGCATAAAGACTACTTTGGAGGATTTTGGGTTTAGAAATAAATAGGACAAATGCTTGGATTTATAGGTAAAAAATTATAGACTAAAATGCCCTTGGATTTGTTGGAAATGATTAGGACAGGACACTGTTGACCTTTCTTAACAACTGACTTACTGTATCTCGGACGGATCGAGCCCCGTTTATTTGTTAAGGATGGTAAAGAAAGACGAAGATTATACGGGTTATATTATATATTTTATATATTAAACTTTATAATTATAATGATTTTATACTAATTTATTATTCTGTTTACACTAAATTGATATTTAACATCATATCAAGAAAAATTGATATTAAGCTTTCTATTTCTTTTTATATATGATTATTTTATTAGAATTTCTACGTATGTTTTTTTTTTGTCTTTATTGCACCGTGATCAGTGGAATTGTTGTACCTTTTTATTATCAAAACATTTATCATAGTCTCCAGAAAAAAAAAATATCAAAAGTTTTGATAAGAAAAATGATCAAAATATGTATCTTGAAAAAAATGCTCTTGAGTTTATGATGCATTTATTGATAAATGATATTGACTTCTGTTTTTCTTATTTTAATAAAGTCATTGAGAAGAGAAAAAAAAATTCTCTGATAATTAGTTGACAAAATGTCCAGTGTACAATATTAGATGTTATAGCCATTTTAGTGATGAAAAATAATCTCTAATCGATAACAGACAAGTGTCTCACATTATGCATAATCGGGTTGGCATCTCAAGATAATCAGGAGCCTAGCCTGATCGACTTGGCACGTTGATATCTTGTGAGGACGACTCGAAATGCGTCATATGCCGACGACTCGAAAGGCGTCATATGCCGACGACCCGAAAGGCGTTACGTGTCGTCCCCCGGCTGAGTCAACTACTTAAACACTCCACTCGGCAACTCATTGGCCGACACCTTGCGAGGGCGACATGAAAGGCGGTACTTCTCGACCATAAGACTAGTAGAATTTTTTACCTATAAAATGTCATTAAATGAACCATGGGCGCCATCATTCTTCTGCCTCCAATAGTATTTATGACACATCCGACCACGTCGACACCGCACACCCCACATCACTTTGCATTAAACCGAAATGACCTCTTCTCCACTCCTCGGCCGACACCTGTAAAGCTGAAGCTGACTCGGCCACCGGCCCATGCAGGGCCAAAGTTACCATCCTAACCCCCCCCCTGCGCGAACTACTATAAAAGGAGATACTATTTTCCATTACAAAATAAGCTTTTTCCACCATTTTTTGAACTTAAGAACTGTTACAGTTTGTTTTACTTCTCCACACAAGTCACATACTAACTTCATCGTCGGAGGAACAACCGAGGAATCACAATCCACCCTCTTACAATCTGTTACTTGTGCACGGAAGTATAGCTTGCCCAAAGACCAGACATTTGGAGAGTTTGAGGACCTCCGTCAACACAATCAACCCTTTCCATTTGATTGTGTGATTTCATACATCAACATTAGATAAACAATAGACATGAAGAATTTCTTTTCGATGAAGAGATACATGATCAAGATATATATTCAAATATGTTGGCATATGACGTAAATATTTTGATTAAGTAGTTTCTTATAAGCAAACATGAAATTTTTATGGGTTCAATGATAATTAGACCAGACATTTGGAGAGTTTGAGGACCTCCGTCAACACAATCAACCCTTTCCATTTGATTGTGTGATTCCATACATCAACATTAGATAAACAATAGACATGAAGAATTTCTTTTCGATGAAGAGATACATGATCAAGATATATATTCAAATTAATATGTTGGCATAAGACGTAAATATTTTGATTAAGTAGTTTCTTATAAGCAAACATGAAATTTTTATGGGTTCAATGATAATTTTGACAGATCCACTGTTGAAGAGTTTGTTAATCAACTTTGCTATGGGTTTAGCACTAATATTTTGATTAAGTTTCCTTTGCTTAGAAGAATTGGAATTTGGGGTATATTCTCTCAATGCTCTCCTTTGGTCGGAGAATTAGGTATTCTAATGGGAGTATTTGCTGCTAAGTAAAAAATTAATTAGTGTCTATTCGCTAAAGCTATTTGGCCAATAAGTAGGGGGTGCAAACGGATAAAGGTACGGATAGGGATATGTATCGGTAAAGAAAACTTATATTCATATCTGCTAAAAGTCGGATACGGATATACATGTCGATACAAAACGGATATGAGAAAGCGAAACATTATCGAAAAGAATATAGTTCGTAAGATACAAGAAAGTTATTAACATGTTTGTTATATTTGAAAAGCTGATATTAGATCTCTTAGTCATCAAAATTAGTCTCAAATTCATTAATCTAAGAATTGAAACAATTACAGCTCTACTATCAATATATATTCGGATATTCAGTGCAGAACCTAAATATTTGCGATATACAGTGCAGACCCTAAATATTGGGACAAACAAAATTAATCGTAAGTGTACAACTTTAGGGACGATGTTGACCTATCTTTAGAAAGCAAAATACGTTTGGAAATTGAAACTTTCATAAGTACAAGATCGTGATTTCCCATTTGAGAGGAAGAAACTGACAAGCAATCACATTTTCTTCAAACCCCCCCCCCCCCCCCACCACCCACCACCCACACACGCATTATTCTTAATGCAGTGCCACCCAATCAGATTACCACTCTGCACACTAGGCCACTTAGAAAATGCTACAAGCGCACGTCATAACGCACTTTGTGATAAATAAGTACATAATATAGAACTAGATTTTTCTTAAAAATAATAATAATATAGAACTAGAAAGAAAAAAAAAGTGTGCGTAGTATAGAAACTGTAAGGTTCGAACTAAGGATGCAGACGGTTCAGATATAGGTTCGAATATGATGCATATCACACCCGGGTACGTATATGAATATAGATATGTCTTGATAAGAAAATTTATCCATATTAGCCGAATTCGGATACAAATATGGATATATGTGCGCATACAATCCGGATATGATAAAGACAAAAAAATATTGAAAAACAATACGATTTGTCTGGTAGAAGAGTGTTCATTTATATGTTTGTTATATCTGAAAGGCTAGGATTAGATCTCTTGGTCTGTTGCGCGCAGCGGAAATTTCGGCAGCACTTCGACAGCACAACAAGAGAGTCAGGTCGCAATAAGAATTCTTGTTTCTCAAAGGAAACAAGAATGTGAAGCCTATATCCTATCAAAGTAGGATATTAGTTCTTCCTCTCGTCAGCTCTAGGACTGCGCGTCGAGGGACCCTAAAAGCTATTACAAATCACACAAAAGCAGTACAACAAATTTTAACGTGGTTCGGCAAATTGCCTACGTCCACGGGGCAAGGAGGGGGGAGATCTACTAATAGAGGGAGAGATACAACTAGGGTTTACAATTACTCTCAATCTAAACCCTCAAACAAACTCTCAAACCCTCACACAAATATCTCTCAAAGGGATGCACAAAACCCTAAAAGGGATTCACAAAAATCTCCACGCTCACAGCCGCAATCACAAAAACCCCTGCTTCGATTTTTCTCGCAGCCGCAACAAAAAAATCAACACCTCCTTCGCTGCCCTAAGAAATCATTAAACAACTATATATATAGTTGTTTCTTTCGGGTGGGCCGAAACCGCGTCCTTGCACACGTCTTCGCATGAGCATGAGACATGCTCACGTGGTGGGTGGCCACACGTCTTCACACACGTCTTCACAATTCTCCACCTCGATGAAGTTTTCTCAAAACTGAGCCGACACCAAAGCAAACAAATGTCTCACTTGTTGTGTCCAATGCGAACTCAATCCACAACAAGTCGAGAACCCGAACGAGAGTCCAAACAATCTCACCCCCATCAAAATCCAAACCGGCTGCATCTGAAAGACTGCCTACGTATCCTCTTGCCCAAGGAATCAAGCCGAACGTAGTTCACCCAAATGGCCGCCAACGGCCTCAACAATCACGAATATGCAACAAGTTTCGACAATGATCAAACTTGTTGCTCGGAACCACCTTAGTGAGCATATCCGCCGGATTATCCTTCGTGTGGACTTTCATAATCTCCACATCGCCATCTTCAAGAACATCCCGAACGAAGTGATAACGAACGTTAATGTGCTTCGTCCTCGCATGAAAAACCTGATTCTTCGCCAAATAGATAGCACTCATGCTATCACAATGAATAGTGACGGACCTCTGCGATATACCTGAAGGAAATCGTGCTATGTCTACATGCATAAAACACAGCGAAAGACATGTATGTACAAAAATACTAAGCATGTAGAGAGCATGAAATATTCATATGGATCGCGTATAATTCTAAAATATCCTAGTTGATAGAGTGTTGAGATAGACATCATCACTTTGGTTTAGACTAGTGTAGCTTATTCTCCTTTTGAAGGAGATGTCAATCTCTTAGATCATTGATGTG